TGCCACCAGTAAGTTTTCATAGATCATGCAGTTAAAAAAGCTTAGGCATTAGTAGGATGTCGGCTTTCCTTTGTTTGTGTGTCTGTTAATTTTTTTTAAAGTACTACCAATACATCAGTTTTTGTCATATTTAAATAAAACTTTTTATATTACAGGCAACATCAATTCTGTATATCAGTTTTTGAAAACTGTTGCCATGGTTACTCTATCAAAACATTATTTTGAAATTCCTTCTAAATGTTCCTACAGTTTTGGACCAATTTTGGATCATTTGTAGAGTAATTAAGATACATAATCCTTTTTATTTTTAATTTTTTTAGCTTAAAAAATTATTGGTTATTTCAACTTTTTGTGCTGCAGTGGTAAAGTTTTGTGAATTAACCAATTGATTAATGAAGGTTAGGAAGTCTAACATGCATTCGTGTTTTTGGTCGCATTGCGCCTTCGCGCAGCTTCCTCCATGGTTAAATTTTCAAATGTGGAGAACTCTGATAACCCCACACTTCCACTTCATGGTTCAATTCAAGGAACACGAAATCTCGAACAATTCAATACTGTTTTACAATCTAGTGACAATTTTTGGACATTACTCATGAGTGCATTATATGATTGTATAGTTTTATAGTTGTCGTTATGTGTTTATTAAAGAGCCCATTCGAGGAAAATACTGATCAAAGGTATCCAATTCTGTCTACAATTTCCAAAGGACGTTGTCGTTGGCTTTGTACTAAAATTTGTACATGAATCCCTTTTTTGTCTGTACTTTTTTGAAAAATCTTTACTTTCGTTGTATCTACTTTTACAGAAAGGCCCCACTTTTCACAATATGCTTATAGGCTGTTTAGATGATTTTGTAGTCCATAGGTTCTTTCACTTTTTATCGCTAGATCTAATAATAGTAAGAAGATGTTTATTTTGTAAATTTGAATGCCAGTTGAACAGTTTACCTATAGAGCAGTCTCCAAATCCTCGAAAAGAAAAACACAGCATTGGTGATAAAATGTATCCTTGTTAAACACCTAGTTCATTATTTCATGTAAGAGCATGCTCTACGTATGTACAATTTCTAAAACGAGGTAAATTATTGACAAATATGTTGATGAAACAAGAATATCAGCTGTCTCGTTTAAAGTCATCATTTCGTAAGTTCTATGGTCGATACAATGACCTTGTCAGCAAATACAATTTATCATTGAGTCAAATGCTGACTGACGTTTTTCATACTAATTGTTAGGCCATTATTTACACACTGAATTGTCAACGGATTTTTCCGTTATTTCCCGATCATGACAAGGAGCACACGGCGGGTGTGACCGGTCGGCAGGGGATGCTCACTCCTCCATGGCACCTGATCCCACCTCTGATGTTTGGAGGTCCGTGTTTGCTCTGCTCCTATTTTGTATTGTTTAATGGACTTTTGAGCTTGAATACTGTTCGTTATCATCATATATTTCATTAAAAAAGTTAGGGTACCATTTACCCATCACCAAACGCTTCACGAAAATCTATAAAGGCACAACAAGTTTTTTACCATTAACAATATTAAAATCAATAGTGCTTTTTAATACATAGACTGCATCAATAGTGTTACAATCTGTTTAAAACCCAAAATGACCTTAGGAACCGGGGAAGACGCGGGGGGGGGGGTAATTTTGCCGATATATACTATACTATACTATAGAAAACATAGCTACTTTTTGCTTGTGTCCCCTCAATAAAAACGTATGATGACCTTTTTTTGCTTGTCAAGGAATTTTTGTTTGTATTGCCACCCTTCGAAAAACTGAAAATGTTCAATTGGTTGTGCAGCTCCCCCGAAACTGAAAATGCTTCCTACAGGCCTGTCGATATTTTGTATCAGAAAAAATATTCTTATCTTCTGACCATATTTGCAATATTTTATTCAAAAAACGGGAAAACAGTTTTTCTAAGGAACTTAGTAAGGTAATATTCCTTTTGTTTTGTGGATCCATTTTATCTCCTATTTGATTATTGGCACTATATATTTTACCCAATTTCCATTTCGATGGATAACAGCCACTACGCAAAATAGTACTGAAAAGCACATTTAACACTTGTTCAATTGTTGCCACATCAACACTGAGCATCTCATTGATTATGTTTTCAGTACTGTACGATTTTACCGCGTTAATAATTTCCTCTCCCAGAGATCATTTTGTCCAGCTCTTGGAACACAGACTTTCTCGTATTTCTGCATCCACGATACCCTTAACATTTATCCATTTATCGCACATATATCCCTAAAATAGTTGAAGTATGTTTTTTATATTATATACTTTACATAATTACTCAGGACAAAATTGCTTGAATTTAATTTTAAAATATGCAATGTTCTGCCTAGAAATTATTTAATGCTATCAATCAGTTTGTACGTACTTTTGTAAATGTTTTCTTTCTTTTTCTGAGTGTAGCCATGAGATGAACGACCTTCTTGCTTACACAAAATGGAAATATACCCTATCCCTGTGACCCCTATATCAGTACTAGTGTTTTGGTGTACATGTAAATACACAATATATTCTCTTTTAACTGAAATAATGAAATGCTTTCTAGAAATAAAATCTTTGTAATCAGTGTATGCGAATATTTTCTGCATTGATTGCAACAAAAAAGTTTATGGTTTATACAATGTATTTTTGTTTCAACTATTGTGCATAACATATTATGTCTTATCATCGATCTGTTCATTACATTATTTGCTGGTAATGCAAAGAAATTTTTGATTGTTAGTCTTGAAAGCACAATATCTCTATGATTCACATACATTAAACTCTCTTTGAAAGCTTTTGTACATAAAAAAAAATAAGTAATTGACTCATTGAGAAGGAAACCAAATCTGTCATTGTATCTAAGACTTTATAAAATATTAAAAACATTTTTCTTGTGTTGTACATAATATTCTGTGAAATGTCGATAAGCACCAGTAATAATTATCTCGTCTTATCTTGTTCCATCTTTTCTTCTTTCTTCTTGAGTTTAAACAACAGGCCAATTTGCTTGGTCGGTCATCAGAGCATCATACTATCTTGTACGTACGACACCCGGTATTGTGTGCAAGCTAGCAATTAATTTTCCTAAAAATAAATTGCAATTTATTTTTTTTTAAGTATAATAGAAAACAGATATGTTTTTTAAAAGTTATTTTTGATATTTAAGTTCCAAAAATTAACATGAGATGAATTCACACTTTTCGCACTAATAATTATAGTACTATGATATCTCGAATTGTCCACGGTTTTTTCCGTTTGCCCACTCATGACAAGGAGTACACCACGCGGGTGACATTTATTAATCGATGTTTAGAACATGAAATGCATGAGGGACACTCACCAAAATTAACCTAGTATCTAGATATATATATATTGCACACTATTAATATGATGAGTGGCGCGCATGTACTTCACTTCCAACAATTGAAAATTGCATATCTAAAAGAGAAGCACCTTGGTTACTTGATCTGACTCAATGTTAAAACATTTTGTCAATATTAACATTTTATCTTAAATTAGAGAGGATTTTCGAAAATATTTACAATTTAAGAAACTTGTACGTATCCTATTTTTCTAGGGTTGCACACTACCTGACAAGGTTCAGATGCTAAATTTTACTTTCATTTACCAAGTTATTGAAAAGTGTTTCACGATGTACTTGTTCATAAATCAACTCTTGAATTCATAAGGAACAACAAGCATGGCTTTGGCATGGCTTCCACTTTTATTGAACACGTGACAAGGGAGCAGTCATTGTATCATGCATAATAATGATAGGGAGTAATCATTACACATATAGAGAATACTGTCACATCCCCCTTTCTTTAAAATGTTAAGTTTACAAATTTATGCTAATACTGAAAATTTACTGTCCTTGAATGATTGTCCATTTGAGTGTTTGAAAACCATGATCAAATCACTATAATAATTAAACAAAACAGTGTGTACATTCAACATGCAATATTACATCATAGAATGAGAAATAAGATTTTGTAACAAGACTGACTAGCAAATACAAGGCTATTTGCCCTGTTAAGGAGACTAGGGATTATTATGCCCTCAACACAGTCTTCCTTTGCAAACTAAACTGCAACAGTAAGTTTTAACTAAGGCAAGTAATTATTTACATGAAGTCTAAGCTAAACTTAGAAATAGGTAGACGAGGAGTTATTATTACCTCTTTCACTATCTACCTTTGCCCTACACATCACGGTAACGCATTGGTTTCACAACTACACAACCACTACGTGTTTTCATTGGACTTGATGATACTGGTTGCTTGGGACGCTGAACGGGTACGGAATCTTGTGTATTGCGTAATTCTGATGTTGGTGGAGCTGGTGTTGGTTCATTGCTGACTATTATAGGAACTGGGTCATCATTGCACTGTGATTGTTCAGTCAACAGTTCAGGCTCTGAATTTTCATGATCAGGGCGGAATGGTTCTCGACTAAATCGGAGATGACGTCGATTGCGTCGGTATACACGACCATCTTCGGTTCTCACTTTGTATGAACGTATATCACTCTGTTCCTGAACAAATGCTTTTTTCCATCCCTTTTCATTTCCTGTAGGTCTAATACGAACGGTATCTCCTTCTGATAAGGGTTTCAGCTCCTTAGCTCCTCGATTATAGTAGTATGTCTGACGTTCCTTGCGTTCATAGAGCTTTTCCCTGGTGCGGTCAGCATAACGTGGTCTGAGTAGATGTTCAGCTACTGGTAATAGCGTTTTGGTGCGTCTACCAAAAATCCGTTGTGCAGGTGAGTAGCCTATTCCTTGAGTAGGCGTATTGCGTAGATCCAGAAGAGCCAAAAATGGATCTTTACCGTCCATTGCACACTTATGAATAAGCCGTTTGGCAATCTTTACAGAGTTCTCGGCCTTGCCATTAGATTGTGCATATCTAGGGGACGATGTAACATGCTCGAATTCATAACTTTTACTGAATTCTGCAAACTCTCGACTTCCAAATGACGGTCCGTTGTCCTATATTACTCTATCTGGGATTCCATGACGTGCAAACTGTGATTTCATCATGCGAATGATTGAACTTCCTGTTTTACTATGAAGTCTCTCCACCTCAAAGTAATCTGAATAGTAATCTGCGAGTATGAGGTAATCTTTGCTTTCACATTCAAACAGATCACATCCTATTGTTTGCCAAGGACGAATAGGAATCTCATGGCTGATCATAGGCTCCTTCTGTTGATCATCCTGGTAAGTATTACATGCAGCACATTGACCAATGTACGATTCAATGTCCTTCGACATATTTGGCCAGTAGACATAGTCCTGGGCACGACGGATACATCCTTGGATACCAATATGAGAGTTATGTATACGCTGTACTATACTATGTGTGATAGATCTAGGAACGACAACTCGCTCGGCCTTGTAGATGACACCGTTTTGAACGACTAACTCCTCTCTAAACGGAAAATACACTTGTATATCAGGGTGGACTTCTTTCGAAGAGTCAGGCCATCCGTCAAGTATTATCTTCTTCAGCAACTGTAGAGATTCATCCTTTTCTGTAGCTTCCTTTATCTGTGAATATCGTTCATCAGATATTGCTAAGTAGGTGCGGTGGTTGATACTGTGTATGTCATGCATGTTCTCCTCAAATGAATCAGAGTCAGTGATAAGATAGGCCCTACTTAAGGTGTCAGCAAAATACATCTCTGTGCCCTTTTTGTACTCAATGCTGTAGTCAAATTTCTGCAATCTGAATAGCATTCTCTGCAGACGCTTGGGTGCATTATGCAGGTTTTTACGTACAATGATTTCTAGGGGTTTATGATCCGACTGTATCATAACATGTCGTCCATATGTATAATTTTCAAAATGTTCCATGCCAAACACTGCGGCTAAAGTCTCATCTCTATCTGTGCATAGTTCTGTTCTGTGGCTGTCAGTGAACGTGAAGCATATGCGATAGGATGATTATCTTGCATAAGGCATGCGCCTAGTCCAGTAGAAGAAGCATCACATTGCAAAGTCAGTTTCTTCTTTGCATCAAAGAATTTAAGAACAGGTGCACGAGACAATGTGTCCTTGACCTTGTCAAATGCTTGTCCGTGGATATCCGGATCCCATGCAAAATGAGTCTCTGCTCTCAGAAGATCTCGAAGTGGACTGGTGATCTCAGACAACTGCGGTGCAAAACGTTGCACAAAATTTGTCACTCCCAATAATCTCTGAACTCCTGCCTTGTCTTCTGGGGTAGGCATTTCATGTATCGCCTTGAGTTTTTGTGGGTCAACACTCAACCCATCCTTGCTGATCACATATCCAAGATAAGTAACAGATGTAAGCTTAAGTTTCATCTTACTCTGGTTAAGCTTTATGTTTCTCTCCATACATCTATGCATTAGGGCTCGAAATTTCACATCATGATCCCTTTCAGCTTCTTCATCTGTCTCACCACATCCGTAAATTAACACATCATCGTGTATAGGTCTGATACCTGGAATGCCACTTAAGGCGTCGTCCATTCTCCTTTGGAACTCCTCAGGTGCGACAGAGATACCAAATGGCATCCTCAGCCAGCGATATTTGCCCCATGGCGTAGCAAATGTAATTAGGTAGCTGCTATCACTGTCAAACTCAACGTGCCAAAAACCATCCTTTGCATCAACAATGGAGAATATACGAGCTTGATGCAATTCGGGTAGAATATCCTCTATAGTAGGTGTTGGGTAATGGTTCCGCATTAATGCCTCATTGAGTGGTTTCGGGTCAATACATAGGCGAATGTCACCGTTGCGTTTAGGAGCCACCACTAAGGCAGATACCCAGTCGGTTGGTGTGTTAACTGGTTTAATGACACCTAACTTCTCCAGTCGGTTTAGCTCTTCTTTCACTTTTGGTTTCAAGGCTAACGGTATTTTCCTAGGCGGTAACTGTACAGGTCGCACACTGTCCTTGACCTCCAAATGAAGCTTGCCATCCAGCTTACCTAGATCCTTGAACACATTTGCATACTTCTCATTTATTTCTTCTTTAATGTCAATCTGTGAAATGACGTCATTCTGAACTTGTGTCTTTGTGAGGAATTTGTCAGTATGCACAGTAATAAGTTCCATTCCTTCAATAGCTCGCTTACCCAAAATACAATGTAGCTCTTTGCCTGGCACAATAACGAATTCTAGATTATACTTCTTTCTATTGCACGGATTTCGAACAGACATTTTAATGGTGCCCAAAGCCTTGGTTTCTGATTTGTTGTACATCTGTAGGGTAACGTCAGTTTTCTTAAGATTCTGGAATTCTTTGTCACCTCTGAGACGCACGTACACATGAGCAGGTAAGATATTAGCCGTAGACCCATTGTCCAACTGAAACTCCACATATTTGTCATGGATATTCATAACAGCTGTATGACGTTTTGATGATAGCGAGTGCACTTGTTCAATACTAAGAACGAGTTCATCTGATGAGTCACTTTCACGAGTCTCAATCTCATGAACTTGGGACTTTCTGTGGTTCCATGTACCACGACGTTTTTCATGATGTTTTGCTCTAGGAGGCTCTTTTTTAGGACATCTCCTCTCAAAATGGTTCTGCTCGCCACATAAGTTGCAAGTCTGTCCAAACGCTGGGCATTTCTCTCGACTGCGCGGATGTGTTCTCCCACAGTAACGACAAGACTGAACAGTTGGTATGGTTTGTGTGCGGTTGTCTCTACGTTTCTCATTTTTACCATGATTATCTTGTTTCACTTTCTGTTTGACCTTGACATGGTGAACATCTGCAATAGATTTGAGTTGAGATTCAGATTTCTCATTCGACCGGCATATATCTATGCAACGCTGAAGGTCCAGTTTCTTCTCCTGTAACAACTTTTTACGGGTATGGTTATCTCGAACTCCGATAACGATACGATCCCTTATCATCTCATCCTCCATGTCTCCGAATTTGCATGTTTTCGCTAGTGTACGCAATTCTGCAACATAAGCATCTATATGTTTAGACTGTTCCTGATTTCTACAGTTAAATGTGTAACGCTCATATATGACGTTTGTTTGACCTACGCAGTAAGTGTCAAGTGCCGTAATAACCTTATCAATATCTTTCTTATCGTCATCTGTATCAAATTTTAGTCCATCTACAACGTGTAAACCATCAGATCCTAGACAAGTGAGAAATGTTGCACATCTGAGTTGGGTATCTCTCTCCCTTAACCCCGTAGCGATCTCATAGTTTTCCCACACTCTTTTGAAATGTTTCCAATTGGTAGCGAGGTCACCTTTCAAATCTAAGGGCTTAGGAAATGGTATATTCATAAGAAAAACATGTAAATTTTGCACTGCAGCAGGAGCTGCTTCAACTTGCTCATTCTCTTCAGGCATTGTTTGTTACGAACAGAGGAAATTCGGTCCAAAGGAAAATCGGGTAGATTCTTCAATATTTGGAGCAATTTAAACAAATGACAGGCGATCAAGACGTTTGACTCACCATAAGGATTCAGTAAACACTTCTGACACCATGTTTCACGATGTACTTGTTCATAAATCAACTCTTGAATTCATAAGGAACAACAAGCATGGCTTTGGCATGGCTTCCACTTTTATTGAACACGTGACAAGGGAGCAGTCATTGTATCATGCATAATAATGATAGGGAGTAATCATTACACATATAGAGAATACTGTCACAAAAAGAACAAGGTATAGAAGCAAGTACAATCTTTAAAGGTAATTTTAAAGTTTTTCTTTATAATAGAAAAAAATCCCCGCTCCAATCTGCTAGAGAGTATATTTCCTTGTGGGTGATATAGTGAACGTGTATTGGATTTTGCGGTGAATATTTAGGATCCAACACATATCTTTGGAGTTTACACATGAATTGCAGCTTTGGTCTAGCAAATCATATGATGAAGTCATTCTGAAATTCTCTATATGAGAAGCAAATAGAGGTGTTGAAGTAACAGGCTAGGTGTATCTATAAAGAGCTGTGAAGCGGGAAGGAATATTCTGGACGGGATGGCCTAAATTGTGTTGAGGACATAACGCAGATATATACACTAAAAGGAACAAGAAACGCAGGGTAACATAATATGCAAAATATTTTTGACTGCGTAGCCAAAAATTATGAAAACTGGTCAGAGGGGTATCTTGGTTACTGTGCACTAAAAATCAGTTTTCAAAATTAATCAACTGTGAAATGTATGGCGTCGCATAGGGAAAGTAGTGAAAAGAAAAAAACACGTGCATGTCCATGATGACGTGGTTATTAACACATTTTGTAGCACCACTTAATGCTCTGGAGGTAGATACACCGTTTCTCCATATTTACTGTCAATATGAATTTCTTGCAATCATGGTTCGGCTGACGGAAATTCCATAGGGGTCAAGTAATAGGGTTCGCCGAGCACCGTTTTTGGTTCTAATTGACTTTGCTATGGGGTATATGGAGAACGCTTGCTTTCACCAAGACGCTTGTAAATCAAAGTTGAAAACGTCAAAACCGTGACTGTACTATTTGAGTGTTTCGCAAGACATCGCTTTATTTACGTTTAATGAAGGGATTTAAGAGAGGATATGAGAAAAAGAAGAATGACAACACGTAGCAGAAAGGCAGATTTGATAGAAAGATACTTAAAGTTAATAATTCAGCAAAACATGGGAATTACTATCATTCGTAGTAATGTTGTGCAGACGAAAGTGTTCACTTGTTAACGTTAAAGGACGTACTGCATGTACCTTTGTCTCTCACATCACTGTCATTGTTATGTCTAACATACTCTTCATTGTCAGATTGACACAACTTCAATATAAAACTTGTAGAATGTGAAGGCGTCCAGCCTCTGCTGTCTGAGCCTGAAAGTGGAAAGTACATGGCCTTCAAAGATGTGTCAACAACTTCAGTCATAACATTGAGATCTGCATTGTATCTGTGTTCAACAAATAGATGTGTACTTTATGCACAGATTTGCTGGTTTGTTTACATTGTATGTTCATTAATAATCATACTTATATTAATGCAAGACATTGTGCACTCATACACACACCCATGTAAGGGGATCTTATATATTAGTAGTAGTACAGTTAAAATTTGGTATCTCGAACATTGAAATTTGGGTTCCTTAGAGTTTGAGATAACAGCATCTGTATTTACCTGTACTATGCAGCCCTGATTAGATTAATCTAACTGTGTCTCGGGTCAAGCCCTCACCGGATCTCTAGGATATTATCATTTTAACAATAGAAAGTTCTAACTATAGGCAGCCCATATTCCACACTTGAAATGTTAATGATAATCCTTGTTATAGATATTTTAACGAATCACCCCCAATTTTTACAAATTATATAAAGGATCACAAGTATTTTTAAAACATACATATATTGCTCTTTGTAATGTTCTAACTAGAACTTCAAACTATAGATAAATGGCACAGAAGAAGTTTTAAATTCCCACTATGAATGACTGGATGGCACAGGGTACCATGGGATGTGTAAACATTAAGCTGCAGTGTTAATGATGTTACACATTGCTGCAGGTAATCTTGAATAGACTGGGATCAGGAGATCAAATACAGAAAATCTCCAAATATTTCATAATTTAGCCAAAATATTCATTTTTCAGGTATGAACTTAATCCCAAGATTTACTTAAATTAAAATGTAATTAAATACATGTAACTGTATGGATAGCCTATAGCCTTCCTGACAATTTATGTACATACTATAAGTATCCATGAGTGCTGCATACATCAGTCAAAATATACGATAACAATCATTTAGCTTGATATTACGGATAGATAAACTTTTACTTATTTCAGCCTCTCCAATTGAAGAAGCAGATCACTGAAGAAAGAAATGTTAATGACTTCTTTGATATTCTCTGGCCATAACCATTATAGGAATAATCATGGATTCCCTGAAGGGCCAGGAATATTGTCACAACTACTGTTTAAATACTTCAGTTTCTTGACTGTGGATCATGAATTCAATGAAATTGTATTAAAAATGAATTCAAAGCGAGATCAGTTGTACATCTCTTAATGAGAACTTCACTTCTCTGATACATCTCTTTTACATTCTCAGATTTGTTAATTCAAAAAGACTTTAATTATGTTTATTTAAAATTGGATCTACTCTATTCCTTTTAATACTACAGGAAATATCTTAGCATCGTTTGTAATATGTAAAAGATAAATGTATAACTATATACACAATTTATTACAGCTACTAATCACCAGATTTTTGCATTCCCTCTGTAGAATGTACATGTATAAAGTAAATGAATTTATGTACAATTCTTGCAATTATATTCCAACTTTTTTGTCCAGGTGATCAAACCTTGAATGTATTTAAGGAAGCTCCAAACACTAATGAAAAATGTTTTAAGAAAGTTATATCAAATAAAGGTGTACATATCTATTTCATGTAGCTCATTTTAAAAAGAATATCTGTACCTGCCATATTTCTCCAGGAAAAATGTTTAAAGACAATGAAGTGTTCACATGAATGCTGTTTACTTATACATGTACTAGGAAAATGTATGCAGGTCATGTATTCAATTACTATATTTTGGTCTAACGTATTCGGAATACATGTTTATTCAACTATTTTTCAAATTTTGTCATTTTCTGAAGATTTCTGTTTATTTTATTTTTCTTCAAATGGAAGATCACTCCAATTATATACAGTAAGACACTCTAAAAAGGAAGTGCCGGACGAACAATCTCGCTTCGTTATCAACATAATTCGTTACATCTGTTAAGTATTCAATACATTTGAAGTCAAGGAGAATGAAAATCGCTTCGCTTTAAAGGCAGAGATTTTAAGCACCGCCTTCAAAAATACCTGGTCTGTGTACCCCTGTCAATCAAATGCATTAAGGTACATCATTGGGTGCTAGAACTTGATTGACATTTACTTACTAGTCCCTGTGTATACCCTGTACACCTTGTTTGGCACTCATGGTGACCTTCAAATTAACTTTTGAGCCTTTGATATTTACCACACATGGTATAAACAATAGAGAAGCTATATTACTATGGACTTTTTAGCTTGATAATATATATGTACACACACACCCCTTTAGTATTTGAAATAATTAAGATATTCTTTGTGATAATATATATCAAAGTTAGGTAAAACTTTTTTTCAAAGCTCAACAAATACTTTAAATAATAATATTTTTTAATGGGTGGGAATGCTTTGACACACATTCAATTACAAATTAATAAAAATTATTGAGATTAAACTTTATTTACAACTTTTTATTTCTAATTTAAACCCATCTGATTCTCAAAATCCCAGCACAGGTAAAGTTTGACTTCTTGGGTATTCTACTGTGTATTAAATCACTTCCTGTGTATAGGGATTGGGAGACAAACGACCACAGGTAGACTGCTAGCCCTCAAGGCATTCACACCTGTACAAAATAAGCCCCTCCCTCACCTGGAATTTACCACCCGGTAGAAAATCTCTGCCTTTAAGCGTCGCTTCATTATAAGCATATTCACTATAAGCATGGTTTACTGTAATTAGAACTTTTTCAGTGAGCAGTGTTTACAGCTTAAACATTGGACTGGTACAGTGTACATGTAAAAGAAGAAGGTGTACATTTAAGCTTTCATATTGACTGTAATTAGTTTAATTCTTCAGCATTTTAATTGTGCACTTTTGTCGACTAAGTAACATTCCCAGAATTAGCCATTGCAAAATATATAAAGGATAAAATTCAGTTCATATACCAGAGGCATTGACAAATAGCTGAACATGTTTAAGTGTTGAAACCAGTGTAATACTGAACTATTTTACAATTCTCATTTTCTGGAAGTGGTCAATAGAAAATTTGTCCAAAGTCTGCATGGATATTGGATGAAACATATGGAGAAAACGAACAGTATTCAAGCTCAAAAGTCCATTAAACAATACAAAATAGGAGCAGAGCAAACACGGACCTCCAAACATCAGAGGTGGGATCAGGTGCCATGGAGGAGTGAGCATCCCCTGCCGACCGGTCACACCCGCCGTGTGCTCCTTGTCATGATCGGGAAATAACGGAAAAATCCGTTGATAATTCAGTGTGTAAATAATGGCCTAACAATTAGTATGAAAAATGACAGTCATCATTTGACTCAATGATAAATTATATTTGCTGACAAGGTCATTGTATCGACCATAGAACTTACGAAATGATGACTTTTAACGAGACAGCTGATATTCTTGTTTCATCAACTTATTTGTCAGTAATTTACCTCGTTTTAGAAATTGTACATACGTAGAGCATGCTCTTGCGTATCGAATCAACTGAGAGATATATACCCCGTATGCAGGTGATGAAGGTATATTGCTGCATAAGTAAGGGAAGTTGACGATTGAAAAGTTAAAGTCATC